AACACGTGACAAAAAATCCGGTGATTTATGGTAGGGTAGTGTATTTACCTTTATGTGATAAAATTCATAAGTAGCATACGCGCATAAATAACGCCCTTCTGTATGAGACTGTTATACTGACGATGTTATCTATCAGCCGGAAAAGACTTATTGTCTTCATAGTAACAGAAGAATAAAATCTAAACAAGAATTTGATGCAATATTAATTGATATAGAATTAGCATTTCTGTTTGATTCGATGTCAATGATTAAGTACACCTCGTTTACTTCGGCCAAAAACAATAGCTCATTGGACAGACATATTTCCATATCTTAATGACGAGAGCGAGTATATTTTGCAATCTACGTTCAATCGACTGCTTAGTATCCTATAACAACATCCTAACTATTTATCCACACCCTTTCGACCTCAAACGCCTATTGAAATTCAAGTTGGCATTGTGATTCAACAATTGGCAAATCCTTTAGGATATCGCCAACTAGAAAGCCATTCTAGACACCCTCCAACATTATTATCATCATTTGTATCAATCAAACCCGCATACGTTGTGGGTGTTTGTGTAATAAAGAATCCGAGGGTTTTTTTTGCTTCTTAGGCATTGCAATGAATATGAAGAAAAAAGAAGATTTCTTGACTCAAGTTAATAAATAATATGTTCTATCCCATGTACTGCTCTCGTCACATCGATCATATGAAAAATAAACAATTTCCAATTTAGGAATGCCCCTTTCGGGGCGCCCCTTGATGCCCCCACCAAATAATTTCCATATTTCCAAATTTGATCGGGGCATCCAGCTGTTGAGAAGGCCCATAATCGTACGATGATTTGGGTCCGTATTTATTTCATCGACAATCATTTCACTGACAGTACATCTCACCGACAATTAACTACCAAAAAAGGATAACTTCGAAATAATGTTGGTGAAGATTCGTAATGATTTGCATTAAATTATTGGTACAAATTTTAACATTGCGGTTAGGCTGTAAATGTGTTTTTGATCTAACCGTACGGTAAAATTATTGGTACTACAAGTTTTGGATTATAGTTAGACTGCAATATATAATTTTTATCCTTGCTGTTAGAATGTAAATATAGTCTATTTGTACGATGATTTTGCAGTACGGTTGATTATATATTGAAATTTGTCTAACTAATATACAATATTGCAATTTGACAAGTTAAACGACTTTATGTCATTAATCTCGTTTCTTTTGATAATGTGATAGCGGTTATTTAGATGGTTGCAGACATTTTTCTTTACATTAACGATGGAAAACGTCAAGCAAGCTATCGTATTAATTAAATTAAATGTTGCAAATAAAACTTGAAACATTGCGTTTGGGAAAAAAATAATAAAGAACTAAAGATAGAGCATTGTTAACTTATAACAAGTTTAATAATTTAGAGGATTTGTAGAGATTTATAGATGGGAGTTGTGTGTGGAGACGGCTGGGTTCTGGACTGAGACAAGTCCCGAACTGAGGTAAAACAAAACCAAGTTGTATAATTCAAACTTATTGTATCAAAATTTTACATACAGCTTATTATTATAAACATGTATTTATATTTAGCATAATTAACTTCCGTGTGATCGAGCATTAGTATTAGCAAACATGTGACTAGGTCCTGTAAAACCAAAATTTTAACTTTCTGAAATAAGTTATTAAGTTATTATTGTTAAAGCTCTAAACAAAAACCATTATTATTATGTCGACCATGTTACATAATACACAACGTGAAGAAACGACATGTATAAACTCTCGTCTTGAAAGTCGAATTCACGTGATTAAACAAAGATCTACAGAAGATTTTTACTATTTTAATAGAGATTGTCATGTTACTTACCCATTTCATTTGACGATTTAGAGAAGACCATTTTTGGAAAATGTCTATGTCTCATTACGTCATTGATGACTTTATTCATTTGATGATTTATAAAGATGTTCTTGTAATTTAAACAAATTGTTTATATCTCTTTATATCAATTGATGATGATTTAGAAAAGACGTTCTTGTAATGAATTGTTATTCATTGATGATATCATTCTGCGATTATTTGTATTTCGAAACAGACGCGTTTATTTATTTTAATATTTCAGAAAATGTATAAAAAGGTTGATTTTCCAACCTTCAGACTTCTTTAATAAAGACCAAAGTTAAACCTATTTTTAGTTCTTTATCTGTTTATTAGATTTATCCAAATAAATTTATGTTATTGAATAGTCCGAAAGCAAATATATCTCATAACATTATGTTATGATAAATTCTATTGGTCCCTCTATAACTCGGATTCCTCGATAAGTCGGACAGTCATGCACGTCGTGTCCGACTTATCGAGTTTCTCTATGTATCTATATCGAGAAATACAATAAAATCGGAACATTTACTATTTTGGGTTTTCGTATACGAAGACACATTTGGTGATACATTGTGTAACAAAAAAAGGCAAAAATAATTGTCGTAATAAACGAGCTTTATCCTACCTTATTTAATAGCTTATGAGCAGAGGTTTTATCGCCATAAATTTGATAGAATATCTCTTCACAAATACTTCTCATAATTAGCTTACACTTTTATTTATCAATTTCACTAAATTGATTAAAATTTTATCAGAAGTAGAATTCCATTCCTCGACAATAAACTAAAACCGCACTAACTTTCCCCAATTTTTAGACATACTTTCCTACATTGTTTTGGTCAAATGTCATAAATTTTCTATGGGATTTAAGGCTGGACCATTGGCAAACCACTAATGGTCTTGCACTGTGTATTCAAATTTGATCGAGAAATTTTGTATTTGAACCTGACAGCAAAAAGCTATAATTGAGCAGAACAAAGACTAAAACTTTTTTGATTGTCTAAAAACAACCGTAAGTGCTTAATCCATATTGGGTAAGGTAAGCGTTCAAAGTGTTTTTATTTTTTGCCATTTTTTTGTTACACACTGTATTTTAGGAAATAACAATGACCTTATTACAAATAACAGTTTACCACTAATTGAAAACAGCATCCATTTTTTAGTCACTTGATTATCACGCGAACAATAAATTGTGACACATGACCAAATATATGATTTATTTTTTTTCAAAGGTAATTTATCATTATTTTTAAAACAAGAATGATTGTGATTCGAGCGATACTGTCACAAGTTGCGATAACAATAGTAAAAACGTCTTACATTTGTTTTCGATTTTGAAGACCTGTGAGATACAATAAAGCTATCTCATTCATGCATTCCAAGTACTCACGTTCAATAATCGATCTAGCATTTCGCTTAATATTATTGTTTACACGTTTCATTCTAAATATTAAATTAATTAATTTGCAATTGTTTATACCAGTCTTTTTGTCAAATTGTGCCGGTCAATAGAATATTCGTTGGGTTTTTGTTTCCTTCTCACTGCGTTTCCGAACGGATCAATTATGTCTTGGCTAGGCCACGTTAAAAAAAAAAGAAGAAAAAAAAAAGAAAAACATTATTGATAGAATAATGATGTAGTTTAACTAGTGCAACGATTCCGTTCAAGCTGGTCTGGTCAAAATACATACTTCCTGCCATGTTTGTTTCGTAGTAGAAGTCCGACAAACTTTTCATTAGGCCAACCATGCTAGAAGAATTACTGTTAACGCTAATTTATTATCCATGGATAGCGCTCATCAAACTGCAAATAGCGATGTCGACAGTGCGTTAAAACTTTCTGTCTTGACTCTACCCATTCAGTTTTTAGTTGCTTTATTGTAGTTTGTTACCACGCAAGTTTTAACTATGCATGTTTAGATCTTCTTAGCGACAACTGTTGGAATAAATCTGTCCGATATTTTGCATAGGAGATTTATTGCACAACTTTTTGCCGACACAATATCAGTATGAAAATCGATGCATGCACGCAAGCATGTAATAAACACAAGGTCTATGGATTTTTGGTAATACGCATAATTTTATTGCTCTATGAAGTCATATTAATAATTGAGATCGGCGATTTGGATAAATGATTGTGTGCAACTTTGAGACAGTGCGTGTTCGAAATATTGTACAGTATTTGAGACGGTTTGAAAGAACATGTTTTCCTAGAAAAACCGTCGATCCGGAAATAGTGTATACTCATGTGTGTATATGTGTATACATGCATGCTTATTGATTCACAGCATGTAGATAGCGCTTAAAACGGTTATTGGCTTCCTGATTAAATGTAATATGTCCAAATTTGTCTTTTAGTAAAGACCTATGACTTTCTCGACCCTTGTTTCCATTAAAAAATCCCCTTGTTGCTGCAAATAGTCCAAACCATAATTTATCAATCGACGATACCCATTGCTTAGTTGCTTTATCAATCGACGATGCCCATTGCTTAGTTGCTTAGGGTAAACTGTCGTCTTTCAAAAGAATACATTGAATTCAAAATAATGTCAAAAGTTTTTAATGTCGAATCAACTTTCTCAATATTGGCTATTATTGACTCATAAAAACATGTTATGAATTTATTCTAGTGGTCCTTGCATGAGCTTTATTTATCATGCATCAATGACGAGGGTAAGCTAAAGTCTGTAAATATCATTTATCCGTTGATCGCTAAGTACTCTCATCGATATATCGAGTTCTTGATTTTTATTGTTGCAACAATAATGTCGCGCAAATATTCCGAAGACTCATTTTTTATAAATAAACCACATTTCTCGTCAGATTTTCAATCGCCATTTTTTCCCCCACAATACAAATAGTCAAGGTCGTAGTATTGCGTGTCTAAAACTTTTATCTGGGTCTGTAGACACTTGTCCTTTTTTCGTAACTACAGCTTCGTGTTTATGCAATTTGGCCATGACGACAATTACAGCCCTTCCACTAGAAGTAATCGAAAATATTTTCAATTACTTGGAAATGGCCGAGCTAGTTAATTGTTCTCTCACGTGCTGGTCACTTTATCGAGTTTTTAGCATTCAGCAATACGGTTTAACTCGACCAGAATGGCAACATGTCCCGTATAATATTCCCGACAACAAAATGGCCGAACACCGATCATATTATCGTAATGCCGTATTGATTGGCACAACGTTATACATAGTTATTCTTTCTCTCGAAAACCCAATTTGTTGGAAATTAGATTTGAACGGGGAAAATCCTAATTGGGTTAACGATTTTGTGAAGGTTTGTAATTCGTATCGCCCTGTCAAATATCCAGCAACGTTATCGATTTTGAATAAAATATATATTCATGGCGGCATCGATCTTCTCACCGGACAACCAACAAATATTCTGTATGAATTTGATGTGAGTAATATGCAATTGCTTGTTCTCATACAAAAGGGTACTGTTCCGTATCCTTGTTCGATGCATACACTCAGTGCACTTGACTATAACCGTCTCGCTATTTACGGTGGCCAATGTATTGCTAATGGTAACACAGTGACTACTATTATTTGAGTTATTATTTATATATGCATATTAATATTAATATAATTGGGATATGCACGTTTCGATTGTCAGGGATACCGTATAATACAAAATGTTTTGCAATATACGATCTTACGAGCAAATTCTGGACAATCTATAATGAAATGTCCAATATGCCCTATGCAAGAGCACTCCATTGCGCAGTTCAAGCCAGCGATAGACTCTACGTTTATGGCGGACAACATATTGATTCCGAAGGAATAACCAGAGTTCACGATGACGAGTGTGTCTGGGCATACGACATACAGCATCACAAATGGCAAAAGTATCTCTCTCCCACTCGAGAATCAAATACTTTTCCATTTGGATTTCCAATCAATTGGTTATCGACCACCGGATGGAAACAGAGTCCTGGTCGCTGTTCGGGGGCCACAATGATTAACTTGAACGGTCGGATCGCCATAATAGGGGGATTGGTAAGTGACAACTGGGAGGAAAACAAGGTGGAAAGACCTTGGGAATATCTAAAAATACTTTCACTGTCAAAAAGGTCTTGGCATCACATTAGAGTTCGCGATGTACCGTGCATGCAATGCGTTGCATTTGTTGGTGATTGGAATAGTTGTATAAAAAAATTTTTTGTTATAGGCCAAATCATAGTTACTGGAGAAATGGTGATGGGATGGATAGTCGATTAATCTTTAGATTAAATGATTCAATAACGCTTTAATTAAGATTAAGTTCCAATATGCATTCTATGACAAGTCGGAGAATTTCCATACGCTAGAATAAATTTTAAGTTTTAATATGTGCAACTGCTAAATTTGTTCTCTTGTTTAAATACACGTAATACCGCTTGAGGATTTTTGGGTATATGGATGAGAGTAAGCGCATATTGTTTTCAATAATGTTTTTTTATGTTCCTCATCTGTGTGACATTTGCGGACATATTGTTGGTTAGTATTAGTACAACCATTATTCTGGATTAGAATATTTAAAATACTAATTATTTAGAAAATAAAAAGCGATGTTAACTATTAATTTAGAGAATAAATCAGTAGTTTTGTTATAGAAATATGTTTCGCACCAAGTTTGATCGCAATAATCGCAATAAAACAATCGAGAAATTCTAATCGAGCCATTAGAATTCTCTGATGAGGGATTGGCTGGCAAGCAACATGAGGCTTGGTATAGAAAAGTGTACGCTATTCAAATATATAACAATTTACCTTATAATAGAATCAGGCGTATTTACAGATAAATTCCCAAAGCTTTTGTAGGACTCCAAAACATTATATACGTATTTGCAATTATATTGAAGCAGATAATCTAAAATGGTTGTGGAAAGTGGCAATAGCTTCAGTGTTATTATCGTTGTCTATACGCATCTTATAGTTGAGTCCTAAAAGCAAATATATTCAGGTCCTTAATAAATAATCATTGGTATTAAGAATTTAATATTATCTGGTAAATTTTTAATTTCGCTGCGGTATTTTCTATTGGGTGAACTGCACAACTCCGCACCATGTTGTTAGATGTGAATATCGATGACGATTAGACTAAAGTCTAGCGTCATCGACTCTTGCTGAATTATTGGTGTAACGCACGTCAAAACAATGCGTCGGAAAAGTGGCACAAATATGCGTAGACGAAATTGCGTTTCGATGTCACAATGCGTAAATGAAATCGTACCTCAATAAACACAAATTACGCAGGTGACAGGGTCCAATAATTGCGCCTGACTTATTCAGTGATAATCAATTCAACATAACTTTATATTAAATAAAATATTATGATAAAGTAGTAAAATCAGTTAAATCTATCATCTACAATACAAACCCATTTCTAATAGCGGCTGAGAACAAGTATAAATAATTTTAAAAAAGCACACCGAACCTTTACGATTAATACAGCTAATGAATATCTTAAAACAGATACAGATAATCGTAACTTGGAGAAACTGAGAGAATACCAACTGGTGAAGATGTTATAGAAATTGACACAGGCATTGAAACACTAGAGTCTTGTGAAGAATACGGGAAAAGATATTAGACAAGAATATGCATTTGACATCAACCACCGCCTTGTAGTCCATCGAATAGTTAAAGTACTTGAAATTCAAAGTAAGCGACAACTACATATTGACAGTATTTTCGCACCTTAAAGCGAGATGACATAATCATATGTTAGCAGGTGGAAGCGTTTTGTGTACGTTGTTATATAGTAACTAATAATAATAAAGGCTTAAGTTGTAAACCGAATAATTATTCAATTCAATAGCATGTTCGAATTATTGAGAAACAAAACTCGTTAATCCGAACTTAAGCCTCGGTCCCGTTGACTTTGAATTAACGGGGTTGATTATGTAGCCTATTGCTAAGCAAGCCGAAAAGGCCAGCTGCAGAAGTTGGTGTAACATTTAAAAGAATAGTTTATATCAGTGCAATATTAATATATTTAATTAGTTTAGCACAACATTTGATTGAAAGTTTATACCTTAGCAATTAGCTATGCTTTTATTGACGCGGACGTGTAAACAAGTTTTCGAATTGGCCTTCCGGTAGGAAAGTTTGGTCTTCAAAACAAAAATCACTTTTACTGCCGGATAGTTTCAAATATAAAATAAATGAAGGTATACCTATTAAACGGCCAGAAGTTAGAAGAAAAAAATAAGCACTGAAGAACAAAAAAAGGTAAGCGAAGTTTTGCAAAAGGCTACACAGTTATTGAAACAAAAAATCGGTTACCAAAAGACATAAATAAATCTATCAGAATAGCTGTTAGCGTCATTGTTCCACAAAATGGTTTTTTTGCATAGACATGTTTTCAGAAGTCCCATCTACTCATACTGGTAGTCCTGCAGTCTTTTACCTCAAGTACATTGGTAAAACTTTTCTCTACAACAGTTTGAAGTTGAGTAATACGTTCAGACCTCGACTTCGAAATTCAAACCCCAAATATTTGTGCAGATCATTTGTTACTATTACTATTTATTATTCTATTACGTCTCATGCCAATTTGGGTTATCCTGGAGGGGGTCATTGCTGTCTGCGTCCAAATCCGCCAAATGGGAAAAGTAATGCAAGAATGCATTAAAAAAATTGGTGAAAAAACTAAATTACGATGACTACATGATTTCAATGACTATTGGGGCTGAGATGTTTGAAATTGAAAATACGGAAAGGTTACTTCTCAAAGAGTTATTAATAAATTCTCAATTAGAAAAATGCGGGGTTCTATGGAAAACGGAAGAATAGCCGAAAAATTAAGGATCCCGAAGCTTATTATCAAAGGTGAAAAAAAAAACTCCAAAGGTTGAATTAGAAAACCAACTCAATAAGAGTATAAGAGAGAAAAATTACTGGATGGTTGGTTGTGGATTACTGTTATATTTCCTAATTATATTAACGTTAATAATTGTAATAATTAAAATCAAGAGAAAAAAATCAACTAGAAACATTTAACAATTTTTATTTAATTAATATAAAAATTACTCAATTACACTTGGTACTGGCTTGGGACAAGTAATGTCTTTAAATTCATCTCTGACAAATGGGCGAATGTTTCGGTAAAGATACTCTTGTCTTTTGAAATCCAAAGGAGGAATTAGTACTAGGATGGAAAAGAATTTGTCATTCAGAGACACTTGCTTTTCTAGTTTTTAACAAATTAAATTCAGTAAAGACACCGTTAGCAACCAGCTGGTTCCAGGTTGAGCTGCTTCAAATAGAAAATGCTGGTACTTTTGTAAACCACTCGATTTCTTAAAGAAAATTACAGAGTTAAGATCTAGGTATTGAAGCCTTTTCCATTTTCATAATAATAATAATGTTGAGCCTTGTTTAATCCAGCTGTACTTGACCCCAACAATGTGATTCATACAATCTACAGTCGTTTTTCTATATAACTTTTTAGTCAGTCCGAAACTACCATCACATTTGAATTATGTCCAGGTACCATGAAATTTAATTTGATACTTTCATAATAACCACAAATTATTAAATATAAGTAAAATCAAGTGGTAGCATTATTTTTATTCTATCCTCCTGCATTATTGCAAGTAATCTTTAAATGCTTTTCACCTTTATTTAATTTCTTAATTCCATCAAAAACCACGCTCAGTGTACCATTAGGACCTTTTCCTATTAATTCGTTCTCATCGAGAACGAAATTAATATGTTCGCGTACTGCTTTATCTTGAATACCAATAATATAATGCTTGTAGAATAAGATAATTGCTAAAATCGACGGAATACCTCTTATGTTATGCTTTAAAATCTCGATTTTAAGAACCATTTATAGAGCGGTACCAATTCAATTTTGCAATCCTTTTCTATTTGCATTTTAAATATGTTCTAGTTTAATATAGGGAGACTGCAACAAAAAACCAGACAAAGTGAACATTTTATTATGTGAGCTAAAAACTGCTAGTGTGGCTGAAAAATTGGCTAGAGTGACTGACTATTTTTAGCTTTGATTTAGTATTAGTATAAGTAGCACAGTTAGCAAAGCATTATCGTATTAGAAACATTGGGTAAAGCGATCAGGAGAATAAATTCATTAGAAGGGCATTTTGTATCAAAGACTCGACGAATCAACTGTTATAATCAGTAAGAATAAATCTGATCGGCACGATGGGCTTAAAAATAACACGACACGCACTTATCATTATATTTTGTCTTAGAGAAATCAAATCATAAAAATTTTCCAATATCGATATTGAACAATTTATTCTATGAAAGCAAATAACATTATTCAAGAATGCTTGCTTTTACTATTGAAATCTTTCTGCGAGTTACTACTTTTGATCACGCTTATCGCTAGTATTCTATCTCAAACGCTTGTCCAAGCGATAAAATCGGATCAAAATACCAGCTGCGCGAAAATACGTATCAAGTATAAGATGTTTGTGGGAACATCTTAACAGGTTACTTGATAAAACTTCTGAGCGGGTCTCAGACTTATTTAACAAAATGGCTATAAAATTTCACAAACCGCGCAAAAAAAGGCATTATCGCCTTTATATTATTATAAAAGGCCATTACCAACAAAAAGACCAATTTTCGAGAAAAATGGCCGAAGATCGGTAGATAAAGGAAGGAGGAGTGAAGAGTGTGTTGATAATATTATCAATGATATGTAGCATAGATTTCACTAGAGCGACCAAAGTATAGGGATACTCGTCAATGGCTTTTGGGTCCGAGTATTTCCTCCCATGCAATCTCACAACGAATTATCACTATTGAAAAGATATTAATATTTAATGCATAGCCAGACCATATAGTCTTTCCTTCACTTGTGAAGTACTTTCACGACGTCCACAGGTATCACGTGATTGACTTTATTTTATAATAATAAGCGTTTCATATTGTCATTAGCTGAAATGTATCAATCAGTTAAAGTAACACATGTATCTACCATTTCTTCGACTTCGTTGACATCATCCTCTTCCCTCTGAACCCAAAAAGGGTTATTATCTACATCCACATAAGAATCATCATCAGCTCGTTTCTGTAACAGTTAAATCTATTAGTAGATGACATGGAGACAAGTACAGGTAAAGAATTACTCACTCTTTTGTGACCAAACACAAGCGTGTTCAAACGATTTTCAGTGACTTCGTCGAGATCGGTATGAGCTTTGACAATATTCGTTGCACGTCGAACCACGGTTAGGATAGCTGAATTGCTCCAAAGAGGCCTTGCCATTTTAGTATCCTCCTTGGTAATAATACCAATACATGAAGGTGAGTCGTAGATTTAACATGCACAATGAAATACAAAAATAGATGGTGAAGTCGTCTAAGGGATCTCCGCTCGCCCACTTTTCCCGACCCGCAGTCAGTGGAGAGCAGCAAGTGACCGGAAGACACACCTGCCTCAGCGCGCAGTTAAAGCAGGTCCCCGATTCGGCTAATTCACTGAGACTCACTCCCTCTGCTGAGGCGCACTCAGCGAGAGTTGCAAAACGATCCCCATTTAGCTTGACAAGAACCTAACACTGACCTTCTTTGTAGCCAAAAGACGTCGGGCATGTTTATTGCATCTTCAGTAGACGTATTCTCTTTGAGAACAGCATTCAAAAATTTGTAAAAGGCTTGATGAGCACCTTTAATCTGGGAATTTGTGACATTTGCAAAGCAAAATCCGTAAGATTGGAAATCTGTAAAATATTTTTCGTGGGCTTTGCCTGGAAAGAATTGTGAGTATGCAAAATAAAGAAGATATACAGGGTACCTGCAGGAGAAACGCGATCCGTGACGTAGCTATTACTATTTGCTATTGTAAAAATTTTCGGGTCAAATGTATTATTATTATTATGGTGTAGGACTAGCCCAAAATAAATACCCAACTTTCAAAACCCTAAAGCTTTTTTTTCTATTAGAGGGTTTAGAGAAAAACTAATCCGTAAGAATGATAGAGCAGACGAAGCAGAATAAAAGTTACAGTTTAAAA